TACATAACCTTTCGATTATCAAAAAAAAAAAAAAAAAGAAAGCAAACTTCTTTAGGTATAGGTATTCTTATCAGCTTTTAAAATCTAACGTTGGAAATTTAAAATGAAAAGGCCCACTTTAATTGTAATGTAAATTTTGGTGAAATGAAGTCACACTAACATTTTCAGCTAAATACAAGAGTAAAAATGAGATACAACTAAATTGATTTACTACTTATTGAAGTCTTTGAAGCATTGTAATTTAGTAAATTATAATTTATCATCATCATAATTATCATATATTGCTTTAGTTGTTATAACTATTAATAATATTATTGAAAGATAATATACAAAGAAATTTTATTAAATCATATTTAGAGGAGAAGGGATTATTAAAATTATTATTTTTATATATTTGCATATGATTATTAAAAAACTTTTAGGTGTAAAAAATAAATGTTATTTTTTTACCAAGGAAAATCAATAAATAGATCTCGTCAATACATTATTTGTCTAGTAAACAATTTATCTTTAACCATCAACTATTTTATCAGAATCAAATTTGGAACTATTTTTGTTTTCTATGAATGTTCACTATTTCACTGTTCACTACATGCATGTATATATATATATATGTACATATTATAAACAATATATTGTAGACAATATAATAATTTATTAATTAAATAAACGATATGATATGCAGTGCAAAAAAACAAAAAACAAACAAACAATGTAATAAGAGGGAAAAATAGAAAATGCAATTTTGTTGATTTGTAAAATAGAACGCATAAATAAATAAAAAATAAATTTATTTATTAGATGATGTTAATAAAGTTTATTTTGTAAAAAGTTGATTTATAATATAATGCTTACCCTCTGGTTATTATAAAAAAATAAAAAACCAAATTATTTAATTAGATGATGTTTATTTTGTGTTGTAAAAGTTAAATTACAATATAATACTTACTCTCTATGAAATAAAAAAACAAATTATTTAATTAGATAATGTTTATTTTGTGTTGTAAAAGTTAAATTATAATATAATACTTACGACCTGATTATTATAAAGAAATAAAAAACAAATTATTTAATTAGATGATGCTTATTTTGTGTTGTAAAAGTTAAATTATAATAATAATATAATACTTGCCCCCTGGTTATTATTATAAAGAAACAAATTATTTAATTAGATGATGTTTACTTTGTGTTTTAAAAGTTAAATTATAATATAATACTTACTCCCTAAGAATAAAAAAACAAATTATTTAATTAGATGATGTTTATTTTGTGTTGTAAAAGTTAATTACAATATAATACTTACTAACTTGTTGTTATAAAGAAATCAAAAAACAAATTATTTAATTAGATGGTGTTTATTCTGTGTGTTGTAAAAGTTAAATTATAATATAATACTTACCATCTGGTTATTATGTAAAATAAAAAAATAAATTATTTAATTAGATGATGTTTATCTTGTGTTGTAAAAGTTAAATTATAATAGAATACTTACAATCTATAAATAAAACCAAATTATTTAATTAGATGATGTTTATTTTGTGTTGTTAAATTATAATATAATACTTACAATCTATGAAATAAAAGACAAATTATTTAATTAGATGATGTTTATTTTGTGTTGTAAAAGTTAAATTATAATATAATACTTACCAACTGGTTATTATAATGAAGTAAAAAAGCAAGTTATTTAATTAGATGATGTTTATTTTGTGTTGTAAAATATTTATTTACCTTTATAGAATTTAGCAAAGTATTATTTTATTATAAAGCAAAATATTAAATTATGATGTAAAAATACTACATATTTTAAAATAGTTACTTTCTGTGTAAGAAAAAATACCTACACTCATTTTTTTTTCTTACTAGGAGCAAGAATTTCCCCAAGACTGGTGAGTGTGTTTATTCCTATTTAAGAAATTGTATTGTAGTATTACAGTGTGGATCATCTATACTCAAAAGTTAAAATTTTTGAAATATTATGTGATCCACACATTGGATTTTAAAA